GATATATTCTACAATTTAGTACCTGAATTAGAAAAGAAAATAGATGAATTAAAAAATGAGAATATCAAAATCAAAACCAAAAATACGAAATTAAAGCATTACAAAGAAGAAGTTGAAACCGAGAATATAAAGTTAAAACAGGATTTAGATGAATTTAAAAAAGAACTAGAGTCTAAGAAAAATCGTAAATTTCAGGAAAAATGTATCCTAATAGCTCAAGTATTACTTGGGGAAAAGCTGATAATCGAGTATCATCCTCCCTACTTGAATGGGTTGGAACTTGATGCCTTCTTTCAAAAATACCGAATTGCATTAGAAGTACAAGGGGCTCAACATCGGTTTCATAGCACTAGCTAGTATAAAGATGTCAAAAAACTTGAGGATGTTATAAATCGTGATCGGCTAAAAAGATGCATATGTCAAGATAATGGAATTTTCCTCCTTGAAGTATGGTACGATGAAAAGCCAGAAATTGTCATTCCGGAAAGAATACAAAAAATTAAGTTCATTAATCAAGCACCCAAAAGCTTCGACCCATAATTAAATAATTTACAATACATATCGCAGATAAGTGTTTAATATATACATTGTAATATCAGAATTCAATCCAAATATAACAATCATAAATCATTTTTTTCCACGATTATGGGGTTACCAAAAAATAGATAGTTAATTCAACTCCCTGTATATATCGTGAGTTTTTAACAGATCGGAATAGGCTGGTCAGTGAAGAGTTATTACGTCGCAGTATACTAAAAAGTGGTTTGAGTACTGCATAGCTCGATGATCTTATGGAAGAATGAGAAAAAATCTATACTCAATTTATACAAATTTTTAGCTAGGCCTAACCAAAAAATTTTGCCAGTAATCCTATCGTTTCTAATAAAAAAGCATTATAAATAAGTTTACACTATATAGCTATATCTCCATACACGTTTAAATTCTGGCCAATTTACACAATCGCGTAAAAATAAAAAATGGCGAGGCCACGGGACTCCCTCTTTATTTCATAAAAATGTTGCCCAAACGAACAACAATATACAAATAAAAAATATTATTACTACTTCGTATCATTATAACCTGCATCACCACCTTGGCCATTTCCTTCATTAAAGATGAATTCGAACACTAGGTTTATAGTATATTGTAACTGTACCATTCTCCGAAATGGACCCCGATTATTCTTAATTTCCTCCAGAGTTGTTTGACTATTACCAATTTTGAAATATTGGCCTGTTTGTTTATAAACTATACTATAATTATACAGAATAAAAAAATGAGATATATAAAACATGCAATACAAAAATATAAAAACCAGAACAATTAGAAAATTCTGTAATTTACAATGTTTTCGGCTTGTTAGGTTCTACTAATTCTAGCAGTTCATAAGATTTTCCTTCTTCATCAAGATGAAATATTTTTATTTCATTAGGTCGAGGTCCTGAATTCTCTATAAAAAATTAGATTGATTAACTACGACTTCATTAACAACACTAATAAAAGAATTTACCATATTTAACTGAAACATATCCTTCCATTGCAGACATTTTTCAAAAAATTATATATGAGCAAAAAACGTTATTAATACCCAGCTTTACAAGACAAAAAATCGCTTATTTTTATACTTAGCATTCATTAGATCTGAGAGCCTGCCAGAACAAAATTACACAATTAGTAATTACATCACCCTAACACAGTGCTAGACAAGACTTAACAAGTAACTCCGCTCGGTCATAAGTTCCAAATACTGAATCTATTTTGTCGCTTTTCTGGTGAAACTAGCCCCCTTATAATCAACGATCTCTCTTGTGATGATGTAAAAGAGTTAATGATCTCGATGATCTCGGAGATTGCGGAGATTCGAAGTCCCTGTAACATATGAATTTTGATTAAACTACTAATAAAGAACGTTATACTCATTGCCCTTAA